CGAACCAACGAGAGTTACGTGTTTGCCGAGGCTGCCGTTTGCCAAGAAAGCACAAGGGATCCCTACTGCTGGCGGCGGACGAATAGAAAAAAAAAAAAGTGTAGCTTCGGAAGTGGCAGAATTCCAAAGATTAGAGTTACGGGCTCGAAGAGCGACCGGGGGGCCAAGGGAGAAAATTCCATAAGAGATCGCGAATCGTTTCCAAGAGATACTCGTTGGTAGTATGGGGAGAGAGAAATTGTTGAAAAAAAAAGTGAATGTATCTTGATCTATTTTTTTTTTTTTTCCTACAACGTTTCATTTAGATAAAATTGCACACGTGCTCCGATCTTTGGACAAACGACCCAGAGAGGATCGGAGAATAAGTCCATTGTATCTGTTTCACGTACGACCCGCACTTGAACTCCGTAACGATATTCCTCGTGCGATCCGCGACGATAGGAGCGTCTGCTCCGTCTTTAAAAACAGTCGTGCGGAGTTCCTTGTGAAAGGATTTTGAAAAAAGAAAAAAATAAAAAAATAAAAATAATAGTCGGATGGTTCGATATGTAAACGCGGGTAAGTCAGACTGTAATGGTTACACGGGGTCTCTCAGAGGTGGCCCTAGGTAAGGGCCCAGGGCAGCATGAAGTAAGGTCGGCATCGCTATGGATTCCCTAAACAAAGACCGGTTTTCACGTATGAAGGTTACTGGTACCAAAAGCCACTGGATTCTGGCTCCGGAGTAGCCGCGAGACACGGAGAATGCCCGTGCTTAGACCATTGAGAGGATAATTTTTTTCTTTTTCATTGACCGTAAGAATACGCTCCGCGGGGACTTCGAGTCGGTCATCGATGGAAATAAGAGACTCGTACTCGCCTCTAACGATACTTCTCGATCTCTATTGAAAATGGACCAGATACGAAAGCCAAGGGACTTTCGAGCTCGGTGAGCCAAGTGGATCGAATACCGGAGAAATTTACTCTCAATTTCTTCTCGGTGAAAGTCCACCGAGTTAACCTGACGCGGAGGACGTGACTCGCTTACCCTGGATCATTCGTTCGTTTTGACTGGTGCTACGTAACTTGGAAAAAAAAAAAAAAAAAAAAAAAAACATAATTATGGTACGTTGAGTGTGGTCAGTTCGTAATATTTTCTCACTGTGCCGCGTGTCTCGATTATCGTAACCTTAGTCAATATTTTTCTAATGACTTTTCATTAATCGAGGAAATGTCGAAGTAGGCGAAAAAAAACACCACTTTCCAGCACGTGCGCGATGAAAGCTGAATCGGTAAAGTCATGAATCCGGAGGAGGTTTCGCTTTCTTTGTGGACTCTTGCGAGACTCGTTCGCGAGCCGGGATTGCGGTTTTCTTACTAAAAGTACAAGTGCACGTGGAATGCACGTATGCACGTGTATCGTCCATGTTCGACGTGGTATATTGGTGCATGAACTTTCGTAAGAATTTCGATCTCGTTTTTCAGTGCGCTCCGTGAATTCGTTCCTGGTGCCGGCCCTGACCTTACACGGTACGTTGAACGTCGTCGTATCTCGAATTGGGCGAAGGTTGCGGTTTTTCATGAAGGTCCCATCGCGGCGAAACGTAATCGCTCATTTTACTCTGTTCTCGATTGCGCGTCCGATACTGACGCACCGCACTGGCGCGTATCTGCTTGTCGTCGGGTAGATGGAATAAATTGGACCCAAGAGGGAAAGAGAGAGAGAGAGAGAGAGAGAGAGAGAGAGAGAGAGAGCTAATTGTTGAACTTGTATTTCCATTAGCGATTTACATCGTTGCTCGTAGAAAGGATGACCTATTGCCCTCACGTTGTTTTCTTACGACCGGATGCTTGTAATTAATAAGGTCAAGTATACGTAAGCTGGGACAATCTGGAGGCACAAGACGCACGCATTGTTTGACCGGGCCCAAACGTTATCTTGGTTCTCCGATGACTTCGGCCCGGTTCTTCATGGAATTTTTTCTACGGTTGTTTTTGAACAAAGTGCGTTACTCTCCATCCTGGTGATTATATAGGCCAGGCCGGAGTGGAGTCAAGAGGGGGAACTGATAGGCCCACCCTGTCTATCGGGCAGAGCCTATCGCACTAAAGGAATTTTAATAACATCTGCTCAGAGCGTTCGGTGCCGAGGAGTCTTTATTCGTGTACGTAAAATTTTGAAAAAAGTCATTTTACAAATTTCAATCTGAATCAAGTTGGTAGCCAAAAATTCATTCCGCGCTCTGAAAATTTTTGATTGATTTTTTTTTTTCGGACGTTCGAAAGTGACCGTTTCCGGCTAATCGGCCATTCCTAGCGGCACGGACTGGGGTAAGTCTCTCGGGGGGACAAAGCGGAGACGCGTCCTGACCCACTAAAATACGTGCGTGTCGTATCGGGGCTCTTTGGAGTCTGTATATAAAAGCACGAGAGCATGAATAAGGAAGGCTCTCTCGTGGCAGCCTCGAGTTTCCTGCCTCAGGCCTGCAGCAACGTGAACTTGAACCAGTCTCCAATCTGCATTCGATTCTGAGCACGATTCGATTAATGCACTTTTTATTGTCTTTCGTTATTCTTACAAGGACAAAACGACGGTGGCGCCGTGAGGTATTAATTTCCGAGTCGATGGGTGTGAAAATTCGAAATCCTTCTTTTCGTTTTCACTTGCCCATCAAGATCATCGATCATTCTGGGTCGAAATTAGTGAAGAGACGACGGAGCGCGTTCGGTTTGTTCTAAACTAACAAGCACGCCTGTGGCGTATTCTGTAAATAGACCGAGCACGTGAGGTGGGACCTCCTTCGAGTGTAAACCGACCTTCTCTTTATCTTTTTTCTTTCTCTCTCTCCCGACTCCCACCATTCCCGACGATTCAGCTGGTCATCTCTCTCTCTCTCTCTCTCTCTCCTCTGTATCTATACACTCTCTCCGGCACGCAACGCGCTTCGTACCAGTCTATTCTCTCTAACTGGCGTGGAGCTATAATGCGTCTCTCGTCCCTAACCTAATACAACTGGAGTCGCTCGTAGCTCTATAGTATACTGTACACACTGGATTGTAAGCAGCCACGCCAGCGAGGCGGGACCGGTTCTGAATAGTTCAAGTTCATCTAGATCTAGACGCAGCGTGGCACAATGCCTGGGAGATGGCTTGGAGTACGTAGGACCCTTTTGCGATGTTGATTCGTCTGGTGAAATTTTTTATGAAAATAATTGTACTTGCGCGTTGGTACTGTTGAAGGATTTTATTATCAAGGAAAAAAAAGGCACAATGTTCCACTGCGGTTAGATATCCTTTACGAGTCGACCGCTGGAAGCCTTAAGTGTGGCTATGGGACGTTTATGAACCATCAAAAAGGAAGAAGGGGTCCCTTCGGTCAGGAAAGACCTTGACCTCGGCTCTACGACCTAGAGGCTGCTCCTTGTCCCTCTATCTCTCTCTCTCTCTCGCACGCGCGCTCGTGTACCTATAGATTTAGAAGGGCCCGGACGTCTTGAAAACCGAAAGGGTCCGATGCGTTTTATTGTTCTGTTTTTACGGCTCCTACGCGTATCTGTCCCTGGAGTCTTCTTTACGTTTAAGAAACTGGGACGAGTCGATGCTGCGGCTCCGTAGTAGATGCGATCAACGTGTACCTGGGGTCAGTGGGAAACTCAACAGTCAGATACGGAAGTGGAATATGTTAGGTTGGGTTCCTCCCCTCTTAGTCAGCCCTACGAGGCGCGGTGCTCTCGGTATTTTCGACGGGTGAAAAATGGGCCCTTTTTACTATACTCTATTTTGATCTGCGCTCACCGCACGCGTCGACGCACTCCTTCTGGTGCATTGGAATAGAGACGGGCGGCCGAGCTGCGTGGCACGGGACGAAAGGGAGCTGATCGATAAAAGCGGGCACTCGGGTTCACGAGCCTCGTTCAAGGACAAGGCCACGTGATAGCAGGCGCGCACCCGAAGCCGCGCACTCAACTACCCCTGCCCGTCTTTCCTGGCTTACCAGGGGCGTAGCGAGGGGTGTCGGGGCCCTTCCTTATCCGCCGGGATGTATATGGTCCTATCGATCGTTTCAAGAAATAAATGCATCTTCGGGCCGAGGGGGGAATGGATATGTAAAACTTCTGAAAAACAGCTTTCCGGGACTTTCACGTGCCCCGTCGTCAACGTGCGTTTCCAATGGACTCAGGGGCCTGCATCGTACTTTGTCCTAGGTCAATCTCACAGTCGACTTTCAACAACGATGCATCTCATTACCATCCTGCTAACGATACCCATTCAGTCCTAATCGCATCCACTTGCTCCATCCAGACGCGAAGAGGGAGCCGCCAAGTCCAACGACAGGGAACGCGAGTGTCTCGCATGCTCCGCTTATGGCCGCAGCTTCGGGCCAGTCCCCGCGAAGGGCGCACGCGTCGCCAGTTTTTCGGTTTCGCGCGTCGCCCTGGTACGCGTACTCGCATTCTGCCGTAGAGCGTTACGTGCCCGCGATGGGGATAGGTGTACCTCGAGGTGCCTCGTGAAGTTAGGGGTTGGTCAGGGTGGACGAGGAGGAGGATGCGGGAAGGGCGGGCAGCCTCGACGGCGCGCCGGTTGATGTAAGAGAGAGCAAGAGTGAAGCTCCGAGCGAGATAGCCAGACGGCTGCCGCAATGCTTCGGAGCGAGTAGCGTGTATATGCGTGTACGTTGTGTGCGGACGGTGCTGAGAGAGAGAGAGAGAGAGCGAGTCGGAGCAGGGACGTAGAGCGGAAGAGAAAGAAAGAAAGAAAAAAAGGAGCACGGAGGAACGGCGTTCCGTGTGGCGCACGACCGGCGTGGGCACGGAGTGTGGGGTCCGTATCGTCGGCTCCTCTGTTATATACGGTTCTGCTGGCAAGCGGCGCGCATGGATAGCGCCGAGAATCGCCGAACGCTATAGGCCCGTCCCGAGAGACTCTCCGATGCGCGTATACCTATATCTTGTATCTAGAGCGTCCGTATAGCTATAGCGCGACGACGTCGTGGAACGACGAACCGGCCGCTTATGCACCGCTGAACCACGGGGACGGCCACACTCTCACTTTCGCCGGCACCGACGACGGTCGGCGGGTCGACCGACTCACCAGTGTGTCACACAGTGCGAGACGTCGCGACTAGAGGGACATTCGGATTACTCGAGTTTATCGCAGTACACATCATTCGCGCCTCGCGATCCCGACAGGGTGAAACGTCATTCGGGGAAAATAACTTTGTGAGCTCTCGTGCGTTCGTATTGGACGGTAGGATTTTTTCGAAATTTTTTTTTCTCACGAGTTTTCAATCTTTTTTTTTTTTCTTTTTTTTCCGAAGGTTGCGGAGCATGATCGACGGACTGTTCGGTCAGTGGATCGCGTTTGGATGTGCAGGATATGGCTTGCAGGAGTCATTCGTGGAGAGTGTGATATCTTTTGGCCTTAGCGGGAAAGATACGCTCGAACGATTGTGTTTTGTCGGACTGTGCTGTCGCTGCTGTGCTCGTTCGGGAATTTTGACTTTTTTCAGTGACGCGAGTCTCTTTACTTCCGTCTCTCGTTACGTTTACACCTGATCGCATCGCGTCGATATTGTCAATCGGAGATTTTCAATGGACACTCTCGGCGGTTACCCTCGGACGCGCAAGTACAAAATACCCTTCAGAGGGGATTTTGAGGTGTACGCGACTGCTATTCGTAATCGGGCGATTAAGGATTTTTGTTTGTTGTCAAGCTTAACGCTACTTGTGGAGCCGACGCAATAAACCCATTGTCATACGTGTGTGATTCTACAGTGAATTTGAGTAACTTACTCCGTGTGTTATCTGTGCCTTCGGAGTAACAGTGCTTTTCGCTATAAGCGTAGCGCCTCTTGTGTATCGATAATCGTGTACACGACAGTGATTGGTTTTCCCAATTTTCTAGAGGATTATTTGAGACCGCAAGTGCGTTACCCACGTGTCTTACAACATTGACCTTATCGAGAGAGAGAGAGAAAGAGTGAGTTTATCGCGGAGCGGTCAAAGTTCGTGAACGTCGTAGGTGGAGGATCCATGTGCGAGGATAGGAAATCTTCATAAGGAAGTGGAGGTTGTGGCCAGTGGTGCCATCCCCCCTCCTCTCCCCCCTACGGGAACAATTTCGAAAATCATTGGAAAAGTGACCCGCGCGCGGGTTAATCGTGCAAAGGTGGCTCACACGGCTAGAGACAGGGCTGCGGAATTGCAGGCCGAGGTGAGGAGCGCCATAAGGGTTCTCCATGGATGGTGCCCGAGACCGCCGCAGCCCCCGGGTCACGGACGCGGTGACACGGTCCTGATGGCACCGCAGACGCAAATGCGCGGGGTACACGCGCACAGGGGTGGCCCACCTCAGCCGCCCCCCTCGGTAGTGGTTAGCTCGACTTCCAGCATGAGGCCACCCCCGCCGCCGCCGCCACCCAGGGCAAGGGCCTCGGCCGAAGGCAAAGGTCACCACGAGGAACCGACCAGCTCCATACCTGATCTCGGTGAGATATTTTTACTTTTTTTTTTTTTTTTCAAAATTTTTCATCGTACTCTGCCGAAGGAAGTACCCGGCGATACTCCGGGTATCTCGTATGCTTAGCTCCTCCTTGATCGGACCCACTACCGGCTCCGATCTCTGTAATAGGTCTTAAGATAACAGCGCCGAGGATTATTCGAGATATGACGACGACGACCAACCCGCCACCGTTCGCAGAACTATTTTACATTCCGAGCCTTATAGTCCGTTTGCCGTTTACGTCTGTACACCTTAGCAACGATAAGTTGCTTCTATTAGCAAGATCGTCTTCGGTTCGCTTGGAAGGCGTCAGGAGACGCAGGCACTTTGGAGATTCCGATGTCTGCTGGTTGGCGACGATCGATTTTTCGAGTCCGAACTCTGGTGAACGATGGAATTTCGTTATTTGGACTTTTACCGTCCTTAGGTCTGGGTTAAATAAATATTCAGGCGGTACGCATTTCACGCGATTTCAGTGTTATTGGGTCTGGCCCTGTTAAACGGGAGATCACGGGGAGATTAGAATGCGAATAAATGTTGATTTTTACGTTCGCTGAACTGGTCTTGCTCGCGGTCCTATACTCTTTTTTTTACTGCAGACCTATTTCCGGTCTCGTAGAACGTCGATCGAGCCGGGATCGGTAGATCCAAGTAGATCCGATCTACCGGGGACGCCTTTGAACGCGGCTGCTAAATCTCCAGTTCGTATCGCGCCAGTCGACTGTGGCCTCGAGCCGCGTTAAATAACCAGCGCGGGCCTGCGGGTGAGCGTAATGTCAGGGTCACGGGTTCTATTGGCCGAGTAACGGACGGAGAATTCAACGCTCCCGTACAGGAAGATCTTCGCTTGTCACGTATCCATTAGTTTCGACTATTATTTAACAATTTCACTTTGCGATCACGAACCATCGCCGGCGACCCTATGGTAATTTCTGAGGAATTCAAGTTCAAGGACGCCCATCCGTCGCGAACTCCGAAATCCAATCTATTCGGGCTCGCGATCATTTAACGCTCCTCGTTCTACTTCGAAAAGTCCCGTTATCGGCAAATGACAATTATTCCCTAGGCTCGAAATTCCCGAATCGACGGAAAAAAAAAAAAAAAAAAAATATTGCCTCAAGAGCATTTTACGATTTTTCAAAAATCCTTGCCAACCTCGTATCTGTTCGCGTAGCCACGTGGCTGTCGAAGCTGAAATTTAATTCGTCTGGTTCCACGCCTTGGAATTTCATTTGGCCTGTTAGCGCTCGTTACACGTTATGGGCACGTCGGGAGAATGTACAGGTGACCTTAACGGGAACTGACCTTGTTACTTCTCCTAGGGATTATGTGTCGATACGTTTTTAAGAGTGTTTTCGGAATCGTTCACGGTCACGGTCTCGGTATGCCGTCATCAGCACTTTTATATTTAGCTCAACGTCGATCCACGCTGTACGTTTGCTCCTTGGGTACATATTTATATGTGTCTGTATATATATATATATATTTTTTGGTACTAGCCATCAAACGTAGATCGTACGTTACTTCTAATGACTAATTTACTGGTACCACGATGTCCCGTGAAGGTTCACTCGATTGGACATCAATATTGTTTATTGTATTTATACCGGTTGCGCAAAGTCTCGTTCTGTCTCGATATCCATTACGGTATTTTATATTAACACGTAATAATAGCCCTCGTCATTACTTTTTATATCCGTTATCGCAGCGACCCTCCTCCGAATTATTATTTTCACTCGCACCGCGCGACGAATCCACGTCGATCCCAGTGTGCGTTGTCGGCTCGGGCGCATTGCCGTGACACGTCATCAGACCTTGGCCTCCAGGCAAAAGTGCGATAAGTCTCGCGAACCGATATTACGTGCCCCGTAATATTTAACTAATATACGAATCCAGACGAATTTTCTCTCTCCCGCGTATAATTAATTATAAATACATCTAGATACACGCATAGAGATATGCCGTTTGAAATTCGACGGTTTCAGCGTTCCTTGTAATTTATGTCTATCGTGGTCGCTCTGTTTCCTTAACGATAGCTTAGGAATCGTCCTCTTTCACCGATACGCTTATCTGGCCTGCACAACACGCTGGGCATGTTGTGTCTGGGATTTCTATAGGGCAACGTGAACGTATCCCCGCAACGTGTGACATGGATCCAGACACCCTTCAGCCCCACCAGCAGCAGACACGCGCTTCTGTGCTCCGCATGGCTCTCTCCCGTAGCGCATGCATCTCTCTCTCTCTCTCTCTCTCTCTCTCTCTCTCTCTCTCTCTCTCTCTCTCTCTCAGGCACGAACATCCGTGGCACCGACGCGCTGCGTCAAGTGCGTGTCTCGTTATCGCGGTGCAGGGAACGATAAGACATTTTTTTTATATATATATATTTTTATATCACTACTGTGTATCAGTCTATCGTTTATGGACCTTCGAGTTTGCGACATTGCTTGTGCCTTCTGTTACTTGGGTTGACAAAAGTGAGGTTTTTAACGAGTAGTGTTTTTTTTAGGGGGGGTGGATGTTCAGTGGGATGAAATTTATCGATCGATCGGATAGATCGTGAGATCGTACCACGTTACGGTGATGCGTCCATTGATCGGTATGACGTAGTGTAATGACGCAGCGTCGTGGCTGCTAATTAATACATCTTGTAACGTGGATCGCGTTAGCCATAGAGTCTGGGGCTGCAGCCAGACACTCCGCCCCTGCACGTTGCTTCCCCCCTCCAGATAGCTGAGTCACACAATCACGCATGCCACGACTTCACGTATGAGCATTTCGCCCCCCCCCCCCC